TTCGATAAAAAAATTCTTGATGTGAGTAAGAGTTGGATTCGAATCAGGAGAAGTCAAAGATGGAGGGTACTGATCACATGGGAGGATGGTGAAAAAAAATGGTCAAGTGGAGGGTGGCTTAAATTTGGGACCCCCCCCTACCAAAAAACAAAAAAAAATAATGGGGGATCATCAACAACCAGACCCATGATGAAAGAGCTCAACCAGGGTAGCGCTAGTCATGTGGTCAGGGAGGAGCTTTGATAGTCCTGCCAGACCACATGCCAGCGCTACACTTTTGTGTCATGGGTTCAATTCCCACATGACACACTCACTTGTGAGGTAGTTACGCTACACTACAGCAGCAGTTACGCTACCAAAGTAGCGTAACTGCTGCTGTAGTGTAGTGCCAAAGTAGCGTAACTGCTGCTGTAGTGTAGTGTAATTGGGGATTAGTTACGCTGCATGTTAGCTGCACCAACAGTTACGCTGTTGGTTAGCGGAAATTTTGTTAGCTTGGAAAAAGTTACACTACAGGTTAGTTTAGCGGCAATTATTTCAAGCTAACACTAAAAAAAAATTGAGGGAAAAATTTCACGCTACGCTGGCAGTTAGCTCAGCGGTGTGTAGCGTGAACTAACACTACAGAATTTCCAGGAAAAAAAAAAGCCACTACGCTAACAGTTAGTGGTCAAATAGCGTAGTGTAGCGTAGCGGCCCACTGTTGGCTCTACAGAGTGCCAGAGCTCAGAGAGAACAGTCATGAGAATGGATCAGTGATGCGTTCACCAACCACAGAACAGGTGAGCACAGAATGAGAGGTATCCACCACCCACTGGATGGGCAACCCAACTGGCTTCCGGTTGGAGGAACATTAGAGCATGGGAAGGTTATTGTTCCTCCAACTGTACTCAACAACCTTATCACGTTGTCCAACCGTTGGTCCCTCAGCAAAAGGCCACAGTTGCACCACCCTTCAAATGAGGGTTTTTTAACCATCCTTCAAATGAGGGTTGTGTAACCATTTGACTGGCCCGGTGGTGGCCTCATTTGTGGACATACCGCTACATAGGCTGAATTTGGACCATGTGTGGGGCGTACACCCGATGACCGGCTGTTGTAATGTCTTCCAAGTACTCCAGCTCCATGGACATCGGTGAACTAGGGGCTTCGGCCTGCCCTGCTGTCAGATAACAGAGTTACGGCCCCCTGGCCCTTGTGCGTCTTACAGAATTTCCATAGCCACAGGGGCTTGTATGGACCTGTATTATACAGCTCCTTTTCAACCCTTTGATCTGTTTTTTTTCTCTAGTTTTCATTTCTCGAGGCCTATTTATAGGCTTCTTGTTGAATTTTTGAGCTCTTGACCGGTTGAAGTTGAGGAATTTGAGAAGGGGGCACAAAGAAGGCAGGGGCCCTTTTTTGGGAAAGGTTCACGGTGAAAGAATGAAAAGAACCGATAATTTTTATTCACTGTAGATAGGCTCGCTTAAGTAGACTAGGTACAAGTGATCAAAATGTGGTTGAGAAAAATGAATAAGAAAAAGTATTTTGAATAAGAATTGAGAGAAGATAAAACAAGTTCTTGGAAGTAACAAACTTATACAAAACTTCTCATTCTCTTTTAGTAATGTCAGATGAGTTAATCAAGAAAAAATGTTTCAAATCACAGATAACAAGAGTCGTTAATTCTTATTAATCAATTCTTAATAACACACAACAAGTCAGGAAAAAGAGAAAATAATACCTTAGAGACAAGAATATTGAGTTGAGCTCATGTGGTTCAAATTTGACTCTGTAGGAACTCAGAAAACAACAAAGACCTACTACTTGGTAAAATTAATCTAGTCTGGTTGAGGGTGCTAAGAAAGAGTAACAGGGCAGAGAGAGAAAGATGAGGAAAAATTTCAACACTTCTTGTTGTAGGGTCATTGCCGCCCCACAATTCCCTGCCTTTTCTCACCCACAGAGTCCATTTCCATCAATCACGTTTGCCTTACCCTAACCCCCCTAAGTCTCAAAAGCAGGGCTCTTTAGGCCCTAGCTCACAGATATTGGGGGGGGGGGGGGCACACCCCCTAGGCAGGTTATGTACTCCAACTCTCTTTGTAAGCCCATCCAATCTTTCCCTCCACACCAACAGTCATCCATCAGTCTCTTCTGGGCTCCAAAATGTGGATCATATATGCGCAGATCCAAACCCCTTCCAAAGGGGCTGCACTACCATTTGCCATTTCAATCTGTGCCTATATCCACCTCCAATAAGCACCAGCAACACTTTCTCAGCCTCACCCACACACGGTCAACAGCAATTTCTCAAACTCAAGGGCTTTCAGGTCACTCACACTCATTGCAAGAACAACATGGCTCCAACACCTGATGGCACGATTTTTTCATTAAATAGGATTGATGTGGCATGTGAAGGCCTCCCTACATTTTATCCAAACTGTAGGAAGCCCAAGTTTGACAAGCTGTATGTTTCTCCCTATTTCATGACAATATATCCGTACTTGGCCAGAGTCTCATGTTCATTTCACTTCTTCTAACATTTGTAGCAAAGCCGAGGGCCTATCAATGGCCGTGGGGATACAAGAGATGCATGGTGTCAAAGAGAACATGTTGAACGTTTATATTGATAGATTGCCTAAGATGTCTGTAAAAGGGATGGTGTGCTTGGTCAGTAAGAATTCAAATAACCAATTGAGCTGTTGAGACTGATGCAGATCTCTAGGCCACTGTAAAATTGACATGAACCCTGGAAAATTATGGACCTGAAGAACGAGGACAAAAAGTCATCCGCACAACCTATAAGGAGAATCCCAAGAGAGACGCCTTTCTACTGAATTTTGGGGTTGGTTATTGCAATGTTTCAGTAAGCCTGAGCACATCTTCTGGGTCTCATTGGCACAACTTGTTGAATTTTTTGCTCATCGATCTCACTCTCTCTTCTTTTTTCCTCTCTGTCACCTGTCACTCATTTATCACCGACTCTTTTCTTATTCAATATGCATAAATTTCTGATCCCACAACTTGTGCACTTTTGTATCTAGACTACTTAACACCCTACTCTAGATACTGAGAAATAAAAATCATTGGTTCTTTATTCTTTTTTAGATTGATCCTGAAGGAGCACATTAGCCCTTCTTCAGTCTTTGTTGCGAGCACTTTAGCCCTCTCATCAAGAATTAAAAAAAAAGGTATTTTTTCTTTGGCCTTACCGCCAAAATTTCTTCACAACTTCTGGTAGAGATGGTTGCTTTGCATCCAGATATCTGCTCTTAATTTCAGCAGAATTGCCTAATTCCACTGAAATTATGAGCAGATATCCGGATGCAAAGCGACCATCTCTAACTTCTGGGCTTAATTGGCACAAATATGCCATCTAACCCTCATTTGGTCCAATCCAGCTAATTGTCAACCAGTGGCAAGGAATCCTCAAGAATGTTGAGGACCTGGAACGGTTAAAGAGGACCCTCAACCCTATCCTCCAATACAATATCATATCACAACCCAGTACAAATCAACTCACCAACTCATTCAATCCAGGAAGCACAGGAGCATCATCTTCACCAACTTCAGGCCCTGTGTCCATCACCAGTCTTGCTAATCCCTCCGGCACACTCTCTCACCCATTTGACACCTGGAAATTTTTGGGCCCATGCCATCATCTCCAACCTCATGAGTTCCACGAGCTGGTCCAGAAAACAGCCAGAGATCCTGATTTTCTTAGATTGCTTCAAAATGTCAGAGACCAGAAACTTTTATCAGGCTCAAATTAATTTCTGGATAGGTTACATATTTATCTGCTCTATACAACATGAAGCAAGACTGGAAAACATATGTGTAAATTATGGCTATATTGCATAGTAGAGTGCTTCACTGCTCATGGAAGCCTTCCGTGGTGTAATAAGACTTTCAACAATTGACTGGTGATTTTGCCATCTGATCCCTGAACCATTTGTTGGTCACTTTGGCTCTTGTCAATAGTCTGAAATGGAGAAGCAACATCAACACTGACAGTCAACTTTGTAGGTTCTATGAGGGAAATGACAAAAAGAAAAAATCCAAATAAAACTCATAATGTTTACCACTAGCATCTTGTCAACTTGACTTCTAGCTTCCTGGTTCTTGGCAGCATCAGCCATTGAGGCAGCAAAGGTGGGAATATTGATGATGTGAACCAACTTATTGGTCAGAAACTGTGGCAAGCCATCGCCAATTTCAGTGGTCACATGGTACTCAACAAATTGGTTGAAGACCAGCAACACTTACCTCTTGCCATTTGGAATTGAAAAGCAATGGTATTTCTTTAGCTAGGTCATCCATTAGATTACAAGTCAACTTGACAGTGAGGTGATCCATTACTTGGGTGAAAGATAATGGGTGGCTGGGTGCCCGTGCTTCAAATAAGATGTCCAGTTGCAAAGAGAATATTCTGCCAATGTTCTGCATGGTCAGAAGGCCTCTGAGGAGATCCTGGATTGGCTCAAACAACAGGCCAACTGTGGGGATTCATGGAGTCAGCCATCAACCGCCTTTCAAGTGGCTCAAGTGATTGTTAGACCTACAAGTGCCTTGCCCATACTGTGTTGCTACAGGAGATACGTCAGTTAGACTGACTGTGACCCCTCTTGAGAACTGGATGTGAAGGTTTCGAGGCTCATATGAGTTGCTCCATTGGTTTATTTTAAGGATTGATATGTGCACATGGAACTCATCCAAAGGAGTGTGTGGAAGATAGTTGCAAGAATCCTCTGGATGATTGTTTCTTGAGGTTCCTTCAATTTTCCAATGAGCTCGATTGTGATATTCAGAAAGAGGGGGCCATCCACAGGCTTGAGCAATGGGCAAGCAATTGGATTGGTGGATTTTGGCACCCAGACATTACGGGTGATGGAGTAGAGGATTTGTTTGAAATTGTGTTCAGGATCTTCCCGAGTGCTGACTTGTTTTTGGCCAGTGGGTTGATGAGTATGGAGAAAAAACTTTCTGTCGCAATATTCTGCATTTGGACCCTCAAAGCCCAAATAACTTGCAAGAATATACAGTTGTTGGGTCTAGATTGACTTCTGCAAGGATCCCAGATTCAACAGGAAGTCCTCCAATCAGCACTTGAGAAAGGTAAGGGGGAGGCTAGAAATATGAATGCTCCACCCATGTATTTGTGCCTGCTTCCTTCTTCCCAACAACTTACCTCACTATCTGATGAAGTCACTTCCAATGTTGAACTTACACAGACTTCATTCAAAAGATACCAGCATATGTGGTGATTTCACTACAAGCTTTTTAGATGTACCAAATCCTGGTACTACCCAGACCTTAAAAAAGCATGAAGGCCAGTAGAGCATATATCATGTGAATTTTGTGTTACAGCCTCAAGTTTTTGTCGTTGTAATTTGAATGTATTTTTGCTTAGGGTCAAATGACCTCAATAGACATCCATTTCAATACAAGAAAGGGTATGTACCCTACTGAGGGATGGGGTTGAGAGGCCCTCGTGCAAGGTCCTCATGAGTGAACAGCGGGGCTATAGGGAGGAGCTGGTCACTCCGTGGGCCAATCTACAACAGGCAATCTACAAAGGCAATCGTTTTTGCGAGCCGGATATCTGGGACAAGTTATGCAACCTTGCTGTAGATCAAAGATGCAGCGATCCGTGGATCCAGGACGTTGCTTCATTTTGATGGTCTGTGGCGACTTGACCATCTTAAATTGTAAGTACTGCGCGGCCGAATGAGCCCTATGTAGTATTGCAGCAGGGTTGATAATGTGGAATATATGACAAACTCCGACTGCTCGGCCAGACTCGGTCCATTCACCCATCAACAGATTTCTTTCAGGCGGGCGTAGAGCGCGCCGAGCCTAATCCGATCATCGAAATTAATCGATGATCCCGCGAGCAGCTGAGATTCTAAAAAAAGAAAAAAAGGAAATCGAACTCCAGTTATGAACCATTCCCGAAGCTCCCAACTCAAACGGTGATCATTATATCAGTGGAAACCTCGGAGCCGTGCCTGGCCATGCCAAAGCAAAACGTCTGATCGGTTCAAAGCTTGCTGGTGATTTGCGTCGACGGGTCTTGGTGAGCTGTACGGATACAACTTCGGCCGATTTTCGACTTCCTATGTGACAGATTCATAGCAATGATGATAGCTATCCATGCTCTGGAGACTCCAGTAGTGAGCTCCTCTCTCTGCTCCTCTTGCTGGTGAGCGAGATGATATAAGTATAAGCAGAATCTGTGGCCGGGCCACGGTTGATCACGAACATGCCGGATGGACTGGTCAAGGCGGGTCGATGGATGGATGGATTAACGCTGCAGGAATTTGCAAAGGTTTTGCCCAATGAGGCCTGCAAGTAGAGAAACATTTTTGGCCTGTTGCTCGAGTCTCATGACCAGCGCCGTCTCCGTTCATCCGGAGGGCCATTGACGCTTCAAGAGTCTGCAACACTCCTCATCACCATCCTCACCCATCGCCAAAATTCATGTATTACATATTGAAATGTACCCTCTCGGTTTTCCTCTGCTCTCCGCATTCGCTTGTCACCTTCCGGTCGAGGCCCCACTCTCACTCAGATTGCTGGTCGGGAATGTGAACCTCTTGGCGTCGGACATCCAGGTGCCTTCTTCTCAATCCTGGCGCGACGGCGAAGCTGTTGATCGGTCGAAGTGGTTCTCAAAATTTTACCTAAAAAAAGGAAATCAAATTACATAATAAATAACTAAGATCGTTCATCCAACAGTTGCCCCACAAAAAAAAAGAGGAAGTTAGGAACGCAGACTTGATTGCAGTGCATACCACAGAAGAGCACAATCGTTGGACTTGTATGTATTACATACAAAGTGGAATAAAGTAGATCCCGACAATCCGATCGGCTATGTAAATATCTCCACAACAGACCCCCACCCTGGGCAAGCTCATTCGACCACCAAAACACACACACACACAAGAATAAGATTGCCCAACGAGCAATCCGCTTTTCGCTCGCCCATCAGACTTCAATCGCGCGTTTTACAGTGCAAAATGATGTGCTTTGCTTGGGATACGTCAATGCTACCTTACCTCATATCGTCATACATAAAACATTTAAATACTCTCGAATTGTAGATGTCATGGAAATCAGCTATCGACCAGCTGCCGGGTGGGCGAATTTACACACCAATCTTGATTCTTAATCACTGCCGTCCGACAGAAGCCCACATTTTTAACCTATTGAAGCTGCTTTTTAGCTCTGGACATACCTATTAACCCTCTTTTGCCCCTTCAATCTTCAAAAGTCCTCCTTTTTAAGCACTTCAAGCTCGAGCGGGGACTGGACCGCGGGGCCTGCGCACTTCGCGAGTCAAGTCTGCGATAGCCATACACAACCTTGAAATGTGGTCTACCTAAGGGACTGCTGTAGATTTGTAGGGTTGATATTGTTTGTTAAAGTGAATTGTCGCTTGTATGAAGCCAAGTTGAACTGTTACATAGAACGTTTCCTGATGATCCACAAATTCATCACGATGATACGTCCCAGTTGACACCCTCTCCGTCTTCTGGCCACCAGAAGGTGTTGTTGTACATACACAACTCCAGTTCAAACTTCAGACACCCTCCTGGCTGATGATGATGATAATGATGATGATGATGATATCCGCACTTCAGCTTGAACTTGTTTGCGATCGACTGCTGCCGCTCACTCCGAGCCTCAAGGAAGATCGCATCAAGCCCCCAATTTACTTGCAAGAGCTTTTCTGCGCTCTGCCTGTTGAATTTCAATCGTTTATCTTCCCAATCTTCTTCGCCCGAGTGGTTTGGGTTCAACTAAAAACCAGTACATATGTACATATTTATACGTGCGTATGTAGATATGATGTTGTTGTACACCAGTCAACCCTTTTTTCAATGCGTTGTATATTGCATTTTAACATGAGAAGAGCCATGTACCTTATCTTTGAGACTTTCTCTCTTGGAAGATCGCACCCCATTTTGCTTGATTCTTGTTGTACAAATTGATACATATACAACAACAATAAACCACCTTATTGATTTCTATTTTTTTTTTTTTTTCATATCCCTCAGGCTCCATCGCCATCCCCCCGAACTCGAGCCATCTCGCGCCCCGCGAGCGGAGAGGGACTTGTGATCAGCCTGATCCCGCCCTGGGGTCCAGACTGTGTGAGTCTGCCCCCTTCCCCTCCTGAGCTGATTGAGAATTAATCTGTTCTCACTCTGTTTGCTTCCCCATAGTTCCTCAGCTCCAACTGCCCTTGTCATCTTGATCTTCGGGCACAAATAACAGCCACTTATCTTCTTCTATCTTCATCCCACCCTCTCTGCCAGCTGTCTCCTCACATACCAAACACACATACCACAAGAGATATACATATTTAGATTCTATGATCAATTGAGGTGTTGTAGGCTCTACATTGTAGCTCTTCTTGCAAAACGTGGTCGTGTCCAAGCGAAAAAAAAAAACCAACAACAAGAAGAATAAGAGGAAGAAAAAAAAACAGTCAAGGCGCACGCACTCATAGATAAACAAACTGTTAGGCCGGAACGCAATATCCTCAGTTCGGGGTTCGTCATTTCCTCCTTTCTTTCTCTCTCTCTCTCTCTCTACTGCTTGCAAGTTGAATTTAAGCTCTACAGCTGACAAAACGCCCGGCTGCCCTTCTGACTGCATCCATCAATCACACCATAGGTTACTCTTCTGTCTACATTATCACCCAATCATCTGCCACACATATTCATTTAGTTATTTACTTTTAATTCTACAAATTCCTCTAAAGCTCCAAATTGGGACCGTTGGACGGTTAGTCAGCTCTCCGAAAACCCATCCGACCCCAACCTACAAGCCATCTCTTATCTCTCTCTCTCTCTCTGAGCTTAGATTTATAGAGACCGGACTCTTCCTCCCCCCCCCCCCTCTCCTTTGCTTGACATTCACTCACAAACACTACGAATCCCTCATCTCCAACATCCTCTTGTGCTCGCAGTCTAGAACCAAAGATAAACAAAAATTGAGAAGGCTTTTAGGGGCAGTAGTTCTCATAACCTCGCTGGCTGGTTATCGTCTCAACTCCCGCCCAAGAATCCCATTTGTTGAAGAATTTCCTGAACCACTTTTTCATCTCTCTAACAATCCGTCTCATCTTTCGGACTGTCAATTCCAACCTCTCCATCAAGCCCCGACTATTTCTTATCGGCCATATCCTGTCTTATCACTCGTACACATCGTCTAAACTCAAATTACGTATAAATCAGCTCCTCATTTCGGGCCTTTTGTTTTATTGTCGAAACGAGAAGCCCCGATTAGTTTATCAGTTTATCCACACACACACTTACACCCATAGACTATAGCATTAGGCACTACAAATAGACACACCAGCTTGTCCCTAGTTCCAAAAATATTGGAAGATCTTTTCATCTTTTTATTTTTACCCGAGAAAGATATTATATTTTAAACCCAGCGGAGATGCGTGATAGTCAGGATGGACCACATCAATATCATTCTTCCAGGAGACATGGCTCTAATAGTATTTACCACCAACAAGAGAGCGACCGTCATTACAATGACTTCGCCCACGCCCGGCCGAATGATCAGATTGGTTCGCCAGGAAGCGCAAGAAGAAGGTCGCTACTCTTGACTTCCCCTCAAGCTCCAATCTCTCAATCGCCGAGCGGCAGCCGACCACTGAGGATCCAGCCGGAGGGATCGGCGCATCATCGAAGCTACTCCCGGCACGATGAGAATAGTGATGTCGATCTGAGTTCAACCTTCGGGAATTTCGGCTTGACTGAGCAAGAAGAGCTTTACAACCGCCAGAGCCATCCCTTCAACTCTGGGGAGGTCGACGAATGTGACAAGTAAGTGAAGCCTTAATCTTCTTCTAATGGGCATCTTGAAGCTCCTGGGTTTTTTTGACGTTGTTTCTCTCTTACATATTACGTCAATGTTTGGCTGTCTCAGATACAACCCACTCGTCTTACATCATGCCAGGCGACAATCCATCATTCAACCGCATGCCTTATCCAGCTGGCACAACGGCCATCTATCACAGTCGCCTAGAATGTCTGACGATCACAGAGTCAGAGATGACCATGCCACTCACGAGCCTCCTCAGCGCAAACAAGGACTCCGCTATCACCAAGGCTTGTGGCAGATGACTGGCAAATCCGGGGCGGTTATTCCGAAGGCCACCACAAGCCCAGCATCTACGTGAGTACATAGTCACATTAATTATCAGTAGAGATTATGTAGCAGTCGGGATTATATGATAGTTGACGGAACCTATTCTTATTTTTATTTTTATTCTACTTTTTAAGCACAATGTCCAAAACATCGGCCCATGCGATTATTTCTCCGAGTTCATCTCGTTCCTCAAGCTCCAGCACAGTCATATCACCCTTGTCGCCTGGTTTTTCGCGGGATGGAAGAGGTTTTTATGAGAGTCAGTCTAGTGGTGAAGCCCAAGAAGCACAGCAGGGCAATTCGAGCAACTGTCGAAAATCATTTCCTGGAGAGTCGTCGATGAATTCAGATTTGGTAGCTCGAAGAAGATCGTGTACTGTGGCCGCACCACCGACATTACTCAACAGCATTTTCCAGCGGGTCCGAAACCCACAAGATTGTTTACCGCTCGGCATGCGCTCACCATTGTCATTGACGGATGAGGACCTCAAGACGTTCGGGATGTCGGACTCTCAGCTTGTGAAGCATCAAACCAAACAGGACTGGAGCCAAGGCCGAGCCGATCGATCGGCTTCTGTCGCCGGAATCCCGCTCAGTCAACCTTCCTCGTCCAGCATGGTGACCGGCAACAGCGCACCAAATGGCTATCGCGATGGGCGTCGGGCAAGCAATGGTACGGAGGAAGGGTATCAAGCACGAGACAGGTTCAGCGGCCGGTTCATCCATCAGGTCACCTTCAGCTTGGACGAGAGTCACAAGAGTGGACTACAGGCGATCTTGGTCCTCCGAAAGCTCACCAACGGCCTCACCTCGACCATCCAGAAGCCTGCCTCCTCACCCGTCCATCCTTCGCGCTCCTCCCCACCAAACATCCCAATCCCCAGGATCTCCCATCGCTATCCCGAACATTCTACCCCCACCACCGTCCTCGTCAATGGTCGCCCTCAAACCGTACTCGTCCAGAAAATCATCCCCAGCGTCGTCATCGATTGGTCCGATGGGGCCCGTGATCAATTCGACCCTACCGGGATGAGCTTGCAGGAAATCCTCGATCGCTGTCACTTTCGTCCCTCTTCTTCCCCTTGATCTCTCCCCTCCCCCCTTCTTTTTTTCTCGCACATTAGTTTTCACCATAGAGATAAGGTTCCTTTTCCTCCTTCCCTCGCTCTTGCAATCAAGTCAGAAAAAAATGTGAAACTCAAAAAAAAACCCTCACCCCCCGAAAAAAAAATATCGAAAAAACATGAACACTCATGATGATGATTGAGTTGATTGTTCATTTTCTTCATCTTCTCATTTTACCAATCTTATAATCAAAACTCCCCACTCTTTCTTGTTGTTTCTGTTTTTTTTCTAGCTGTTTTTGATTGTTTGTTTGTTGGAGGTGTTTCAATTTTTGTACAAGAAATGATAACGATGGCGCAAGTTTTGTTTGATGTTTCTGCTCACGGCTCATCAGCTCACGGCGTTATTAGCCATGAAATAGAATTAACATGGTAGTTTTTTTTCTGTGCTCTGTTGTCTGATTTCTGTTACGCTTATTTATTTCTTAAGCACAGTTTGTTTGTTTGGAAATGGTACAGTCTTTTTTTTTGTTTCTTTGGTGGAAAGAGGTATTTAACCTTCTCCCAGGATTCCTACATTTCGGTATGATCAGAAACCCATATAGACACAGAGAAGGAATGGCGATTTCTACTAGTATAAAAGAAGAGGAGGGAGGGAGAACGGAGTTACACCCCAAAACTCAACGATCAATCATGTAAAAGATCTGATCCAAAACTCGATTCCTCGGGTGACTTTTCAAGAATTGATGACGGTGCACTTGAGCACTTTGCCTGAGCAGTCATTTGCGATCATCAGATTAACTAGTTCAAGGTGATAAGCAAAAAGAAGCTTGGAGAGAATTAAGTACCTTCAGAGTCCAGCTCGTATATGATTGGGACACCAGTGTCCAACTCCTTTTTGACGATCTCGTCACCACTGAGGCCCTCAAGCTGCATGATGATCGATCTGTTGTTGGATAAGGATGTACGAGAGATGGGCGATCAGCTAAGCTGGCTTATGGAAAGAAGGTCAGCAAGTGACTTACCGGAGGGAGTTCCCGTGAGCAGCGACCAAGACCTTCTTCCCGGCAAGAACTTTGGGCTTGATTTGGGAATTGTAGTAGGGAAGCGTTCTTTGGGCGGTCATTTCCAAGCTTTCGCCGTTGGGGGGAGGGACGTCGTAGCTGCGTCTCCAGATGTGGACCTGTTCTTCGCCCCACTTCTTGCGGGCATCGTCCTTGTTCAAGCCACTCAAGTCCCCGTAGTCGCGTTCGTTGAGCGCTTGATCCTTCTCGATCGGGATGCTCTTTTGGTCGAGCGCCTCGAGGACGATGTCGAGCGTAACTTGCGCTCGTCGTAAGGCCGAGGTGTATGCACAATCAAACACGAATCCAAGCTTCTTGAGCCTCTCGGCCGCCAGCTTGGCTTCCTCACGTCCCTTGCTGGTTAACTCTGGGTCCTTGAATCCGGTGAACAGGTTCTTCTCTGTATAGATAGCCATATAAATACAAGATTGATCATCAACTCGAGTTACACACTTGGTCTTGGTCTTGCGAAGGGTTCTTTGACTTACCATTCCATTCACTTTGACCATGACGGATGAGGACAACCTATGAAGAATTGATCAAGCACACACACACAAAAGAGCCAGTCAGTCTCCCCCAAGATCTTGGGGCTAAAAAGAAGGGGGGTGAAGTGGCCAAGCCATGACGGACAACATTGTTAGAGTTTGACATGGCGAGGACTGGATGAAGAGAAACGGGCTGATGTTTTCTGTTGATTGCAGGCTGGGGTGAAGAAAAGAAGATCAAGCTGGAAATCTGAGTCTGATGTTGTCCAATCGGAGTTGTCGGAGAAGTCGGAAGCCACTAGTGGTGTTTCAAGCTGCGATCGAGCTATCTCCCCGTGGGGACGGGGCCGGGGAAACTCGAGACCATCTCCGACGGGATCCTCCAATATTCCTTTGGGGAGCTTTTCCCGCGGTTGAGGGATGTGGGCCGGGCTTGAATACAAGACCAGCCATTGACCCGCCGCCCTGGACGAAATTGATTGAACCCCTGTGTGCAGCTTTCCTGTGCGTTTGAGAAATGTCTGTTTCCTCTTGTCTCTTGACTGAGGTTACTATGCCTCTGATGCTCAAGTAAGTATTGTCCAGAATGTGCGATTTTTCTTCAAGTTCATCTGGTTTCTTGAGTAGGAGTGTCTCAGTTGGAATCCTCGATCGTTATGACGAGTGGAGCTCGCTGGGTTGTTGGGTATTACGTAATCGAGTGCAACCCTTTCATTTCCACTTCAGAAATTTCCCAAGCTGAACCACACCGATACTACCAACCAACCACCACGCATCTCAACAAACAGTGCAAACATATTCTGGAAAAACCCGTCCAACTGGCCTTTAAAGGATGTATGTAAATACTTCTTCCCAATCTGATTTAATCTGGAGTGAGCTGCCTGACTAACCATCCATCCTTTCAGATTCAAGCGTAACATTCCATCAACGAGGGGGAAACCGTATAAACAACCTGAGGAATTTATAACTAGTCGACCCAGAACGAACAACATGGATACAAATTTGTCTGAACATGCCGATCCAGTAACGATGAATGAGGATAAAAATAATCATCAAGTCGATTCCAATCAGCTTACCACTTATAATCCTCAAGTAGTCCTCATCTCAGGCGCGATCGGCTTACTCTTATTATTCATCAGAATCGGTCCGTTCTCATTTATCCTCGTCATCATCGTATCCTTGTAAGTGATACCACATTTTCCTCTTCAAGAATCCTTTCAAAATGGAATAAATGAGATGCCAACGTGTGATTGATATACTGAATCTTGTTACCTCGTCCACATTCAACCACAGTACCCTCTCTGCATTACCCGATTTCAGAAGCATAGTCGACAGCACTCTGGGTACCACCTTATCTACCGAACGTCGTCTTGCAGAGACCTTTCCAGCCCTGGGCGCCCAATCTCAATCACGCCATCTCCTGACCAATCTGGATTCAAGTTCAAATTACCATCATCAGTTGAACCAGAACCTCGTCAAACTCGATCAGCTACCAGAACAGCTGCAATCAGCTTTTGGCTCCCTGTTCGACTTGATCATTCGTGACTACATTGAAAGTTGGTATCTCCTACCCAGCGTCTCGACCGGCGACAGGGCTTTTTTGAATCAACTCCGGAATGCTCTTAATCATATCCTCCTCAAAGCTCATGCCAAGTTGACGACCAAATCCAGCAAAGAAACGATGATCTACCTGATTGGTTGTTTGTCGATGAACCTCGTCCGCGAATTGAATGATCGCGCCGACTCCAAATCCCAAACTTCTTCCCAGGATCGAATCGCTCAACGGCTGACTCAGACTCGTAGGATCTCTGAAGAAATTCTCTTGACCCTGGGTTCTTCCTCTATCACTTCATCTCCCCTAACGCTCAACCTGGTCTCTGAAGTCCTGACGGTTCAATTGATATCAATCACCAGCTCTTACAATCAAGACTGGTTTAATCAAACCTTGATTGATTCTCTAGGAACTGGTACACCTACTCAAGCCTCCCTAGCATCAACAACTCCAGCAAAAGCTACGAATGGCACAGTGGCAGCTGCGGTTGTCGATCAAATCAAAGAAAACACTAAACAGAATGATCCTCACCGCTCGATATTCCAAAGTCTTAGCCCTGCTCGATCTCATTCTGCCAATGAAGCACCCTCGACCATGGCTGTTACTCCAGATGATATCCAATCTGTTACTGGAAATGATGTATTGATCGCTTATCTCAAATCTCCTGCAAACTTCAATCTTTCCATCAGCACCAAGCCCAACAGCAGTATTCGCCTGCAAGATTTTTTTGAGCATACTCCGAACTGGGCTCCCCTGAAAGTCATCACCGATTTTGAAAGATCCTCTCTACTGTCTCCCTCATCCAATGACTCCGTGCAAGTGGAATGTTTCGTCAAGCTTTTCAATCATTTCGACTCATTTCACAAGACCTGTCAGAGCGCTAATCTCAAGTCAGACGTAGTCAAGATTGACGCGATCTCCGTCCTAAGTGCATTGGCCCCGCTTATGGATTACGCAGTAGATCAGCATATTTCAAGCCAACCCGATCAAAATTCGAAAGTGCATATCTCCAGTACTTGGAAGTCGGCGATCATTGAAACCTTGAGACGTCTGGAGCTTGTGTCATCTTCTGGCTCACCCGTCTTTGGTAACCTCCAGGATTGGATCCTCGATCGCTTGCGCTCCATCAAATCCAACCAGTCAAATCAAGCATCTGTAACCTCTAAGCCCGCGACCAGTGCAGATATCGATTATCAGCCGTGGTCGACTTCTCCAACCGAAACAACTCGGGGGGATAAGATACACTACATGACCCTGCCCAATATTCCATCGACTGGCTCAGGCGGCTATACTGTCGACAGCCCACCGATGCAGTCCCAAGACCTGGCCAGCTCAAGAGATGAGCATACATGGGACAAGGCTAAAAATAGTACAACTGAGGCAATCCTTGACAGACATCGCGCCCCTTCGGTCAGCCGTGCTGTCACCTCACCCCCAGCTGGGTTCAGAGTTTCTCCACAGAGAAACAGCGGACACGAAGGTTTTGGATCTCCCACTACTACGTTACACTCAGCAACGTTTAGTCAATCGTCCCCTTTTTCGGCTCGCGTCCCAGAAGAAGGTGACATGACCGAAGGTTACTCGCTCGACGAAGCAAGCGAAAATGAAGGCTCGGATCCCGACCAGTCCAGCCACTCAATTAATCCGTATCACTCGACTGCTTCCGCTTCTACCACCCGGTTTGATGACACAAATACATTAACTTCTCCTATTTCGCGATCTAACTCGATGAACACACCGCCTGTTTCTCACAGTTCTCATCCTGCCTCCTTCTCCGTTTCAGTCACGGATATGTCACCTCCTTCCGCCACTGATCCCAAGACTGGGCTTATCAAGCAGAAAAAAGACATCTCTCTGTTGATTGCTGTCGAGGCCCCTTCTGTCCCCGGATTCATTGTCACCCGTGGATGGCCCGAGCTTGAACGAATGGATCTGGCTATCAACAAAAAGAAACTGGTAGGAGTGGGTACGAAAGCTTTTCCCAGGGCGTTATTACCGACCAACTTGAATTTTAAAACTATCGATCATGTCCGGCGAGAATTGGAAGCCTATCTTAAATGCCTGCTAAGTGATGAGAGATATTCGAAATCAGAACCGGTTTTGAAGTTCTTTGCGAAAGAAAGATCTGGGATGAGTGGTCGCGGTGGGGCGATCAATAACATATTCAACACGACCTCTTCGACTTTAGACTCGTTCGGTAAGGGCGTCGCTAGTGTCGGAAAAGAAGTTGTCAGTAAGCCGGTGGATTTTGCTACACTGGGGCTCAACAGACTCTCCAAGGGTGTCTTTTCTGGTTTACCGTTCGGAAATTCACCGGTAACAAATGAAGAATCTACATCTTCGGAAATAGGAAACCATAGAGCCTCATTGCAGTTCCCTCATTCGACAAACTCCAACTTGGGCAGCTCCGATCCCACTGATCAATCAACCAAGGTGACTGAAGGTTTTGTGAACAACAAAAGTACAGTAGACGCTCATCAAACTGGTGGAAACGGAGAATTGGTCGATGATAGTCAGACGGGACCAAAGGAGGACAAAACTGAAGAACAGTCCGCTGTTCCCAAGCGAAATAGGGAATCAATACCCAGCTCTCGACCGACATCTGATGGTAGCCTTCTATCTGCCGCGCCCCAAACCCGGGATGAGAACAATGTGTCCTTCAATGCTTCATCGCAAGATGTCGAGTCGACCACCAATCCACAACAGTCCGCAAGTGTCGACGGGACAACAACAAAGAATCAAGAACCATTGGTTGGAAGCAACTTGCCTGAGACCAGTAAGCCTACAACGACACCGGGCAACAACAGCAAATCAACAGCACCACTCAATGGGACGGGCAACACATTGCCCGGATCATCAGCCACAGCGACAACGACGCTGAGCGGCAAAGAGTTTGATACGGTGATCATTGGGTTGATTTCGATTCTTGAGGCGGCCTACGGGCTTGATCAGCGGCAAGGCGGTTCGGGAAACAATACGCCATGGTCGATGAAGCGAGGGGTTTTGAGAGTCTTGGAGACCATCTTGAGGACGACAAGCTTCAGTCATTTTATCCGACTCACACTTTCCCAGATCATCGACAAGTTTGAGAAGGTTGAGACCTACGTCGATCTCATCAACTCCGCCCTTCTCAGTCTGTCTTCTTCCACCAAGGAGGAAGCTGGTACGGCTCCTGATGAGGAGCACCAGAGCTTCAAGAACAAGCGCAAGCTTCGGCCGCAAAAGTCGCGCGGCAGTCTTGTCTCTTCTGAAGACGATAGTCTCGATGACCTTAGTCTCGATCTCTGCTCTTCCCCCTCCGCGTCCTCCTCTTCCGCCGCCACTCAGCCTCAGCAGCAGTATCAGTACCAATCCTTGGGCGATGATGAGGAAGACAAGAAAGCTAAGAAACTGCGGCAGAATAAGTGCGATCGGGCCGCTGAGATCAAGGCTCAGCGTAAAGAGGCCGCTCGCAAATTGTTTGTGGAGTCCTGGTCGAACCTCAAAATCGGGCTAGGATCGAATGGTTAGCAACATTCCATCTTTTTGTTGATATTACAATATTTCCAATCAAGTATCTTACCTTCTCTTTTTTTGGGATGTGGCTTTTTTGATGGAATAGCCACCGATTTAGCGGCAACTAAAGTGTTCGACTTGTTCCAAGAATTCGAGGATTTCAATAGCCAAGCGGATGATGAAGATGAGGATTCAAGCAGCGGACAGAGCAAAGCCGATCATCAAAGTGCTCGCAAAGCGCTCCAGGGTCCTAGCGGAATCGAGTTCATCGTTCATAGTCTTCTCTTGGACCTCATTCGGATCATCTTGTTGTTGTAGTTTGTCCGCTCCTCTCCTTGTTATGTTCACTAAATCATATCTAAAAATCGCCTCTTTTCTTTTCCTATTAGTATTCTCTTCTCGTTTTTCTCCCTTGTTTTTCTTTCTTTCTTCCTTTTTTTCCCCTTATAACCTTTAATTCTCTGGTTTGTTTACATACTCATTGTTTTTCTCAAACCAACCAAACAAAAAAATACTTATTTAAGTTCGCTTAGTTCTCATTTCATGTATCGCTCATTTCATGCAGAAATGAGATCATTGCTTTTTCTGCATACATACATGTGCAGTAGCCCTGCTCCCCTCGGTGAGGAGGAGACATCCTCGAGGAGTAGGTCCGGCTTGTACTGGCTCAGCGAGTTCTTTGCCGAGGGCTTTCACCAACTCGGCGAAGCAGTTCGTCGGGGCAATATGTATGATCTATGCCGGCTCGCTGGGGAGGATATACATGCCCGCGCCGATCTGGCAGAAGTGGAGCTCGCCCAGGATCTGTCCTTCATGCCATGCTGGTTCAGGCTTTGCCCGCCAGGTGGTGATGGAATCGCTTGGACGACACCCCTCCCACTCAAAAATGCTGTATATTTGATGCCGGGCGTAAGTGTCACATAGATCTCAAGAATTGATTTGTAGGGGTGTAGCAGTCTCATCAAGCAGCTTGCCAATGAAGCTTGAAACAGCAGGCCCTTGGCAGGCTGGATGACTCACTGTCTCTCACTCTGTATCTTGAGCCAAGATCTTGTGGTTGAATGTTACCGTTTTTAAGTACTATCTCCTTAGGAGGGTGACAGATTGATAACTCTTCTTTGCCTTGATATCACAAGTGTAAGTCTCAGTCTACTACTCCATCATCAAAGTTACAGTCTCACCTTGTGCTCTGCCGAGTCGCCATAACTCTTGATGATAGTTACGGCCAGTGTAGCTTTCCTTCAAGTCATGCCTCTGGTAGATTATAAAGGACGGCATCAGCCTTTCTTCCGCTCCGGACAAGCGGCCAAAAAAAGCATCTCAAGTAGCTCAGCGCCATCTCTTTCCCTGCAACCTGCATCTTAATGATTCAGTCAAACTTAAAGCGGAATTTTCTTTACGTCTCTCTGTTTCTTTCAGGAGCTACTCAGTTGGCATGTTCCTTCCTGGAAATGCCAAGAGAGATCTCGTTAAGTAAGTGGCAAACGTTTTCTTCCGATTCAGCTTGATTTTACATCTTCTTGACATCTTCCCCCATATGATGGTTGCTCAGGATCCAGTGATGCTTCGATGATAGATCATGGACAACCCGGAATCGGCAAAAAACAGTCGTGTCTGCGACAGAAATTTCGCAAAGTAAAAGCTGCAAACCAAGGTAAATTTCTTTTTCTCTCAGTGATGCATGATCTATGAGCGGTCATCTTTCTGACAAATTGCTTGACTTATAGACCAGTTGAGTGTGTTGGAAAAGAAAGAAACGGGGATTAGAGAAATAATCCAAGATCTCAAAAATGAATTTGGGCTGGATGAGTTTGAAACAGACATCATTGAAGAATTGGAAGACTTTCACAAGACCTTGAAGGAGCCAATGCAGGACAGATTGTTTGAGTTGCATGGAGGCTCTCGAATGCGAATCAATCCCCGGACGACGGAAGTTGGTCCAACGGCTGAGCTATCTGGTGGTCCCCTCGACGATATCAAAGATGCCCTCTCTGAACCCCTGGTTTTGCGGTGGAAAACTTTGGAAACAAAGTTTGATGCTCTTCAAACTGAAAATTTAAGCAAATACAGGTTCTGCAACAGGCACTTCAAATTGGGCTATTCAAAAGTTTTATTTCTCTTAGGAGATCTGATTCAAAATTGCAACATGGGGCCACCACAGTTCCTCCAACATATTCAGATTTTAAAATCAAAGGCTCTGGAAGAAGCAGCTTTGGCACATGTTGATCCTCTCATGAATCACCCGTGGCTTCTGCATGACTGGTGGGGTCAAGGTTCTCTGCAGGTCTTTGTGGGAGAATTTTCCTATATTGACAGCATGGTAAACGGTCTTCACAGATCTATCCCAGGTATGCATGTTCTCAACTGTCTCATTCATTTCATGTTATAATTCTGCCAGAGTAACTCGAGAATTAATGCTTGCTTGTGTTACTGCACCCCTCTTTTTTACCTTTTTTTATTACAAACTGGAACCAATATAGAAATCTCTCTCCAAGAAAAAACCGACTCATTATATCTTTGCTTGAGACACATGATGGAGAGTTTGAAAAACCCCAATGTTAGCAAAGGCTTAGAAGGAGAAACTGAAGCTTTTACTAGGATTCGTGAGCAATTTGTTGCACCCAGGTTTCTGGGGGACATCAATAGAATCCACTCAAGACTCAGCATTGGGAAGGAAGATGAATTGAAGAAAATAAAAAGCCAGGAAGTGTTCCTCACAGGAGCAATACAAAGTATTCTGGAATACTTTTACATCCCACAAGAACATATATCAGGAAATAGACAGACTGTTCAATTATTGATAAACTACCACACTGTGAATTTTCTCCATAATAGTTATCCAAAAATTCTGGTTGAGTTTATGCCAGAGAATGTTGATAAATTGATCTTCAAAAGTCAACTCCAATTCATGGAAATTTTGGACAAATTAATTCAAGCAGCCAACCAAGGAGATTCACTTCAAGATAAAAGAAGGCACCTTGAAAATATTTTACATTTTTATGATACAAACGTTAACATCCAAGGATGGATTGACAAATTTATTGAAAATGTTTCTCGGCATGACATTGAGTTTTTCCGTTTCTTGTTATCTACATTCAATCCATAGTGTTTTCTTTTTTCAACTTTTGTCCTTATAATTAATTGAAACATTGCTCTTCTCTTCCAGAGCATTTTTCTTGATTTTGAATCATCAACCAATATCAAAATTACAGCTATTTTAGAAAAGGTTGTCCATGTCTGCAAAACAATTCTTCTTCAAAAATTTCTTCCTGGTCAAACGTTTTGCTCCTTATGCATAAGCTTTGACAGCTCAACAGCAAGGATTAAACTAGCCTGGAGCCAGGTTTTTGAGCCCTGCATCACATAATCTCACCCCCAATGGCATGAGTCCTCCTCAACTTGGTTGACTCCTGTTGAGTTGATGTGGTTTATGCATATGCATAGATGAGAAAAGAAAATTATTTGAGGAAAAATTTTTTTGGATTGGACAATGTTTGTTGGAATAACTGTATGAACTTTTACTCAACCATCTTTTCATTTCTTTCCTCAATAAAAATTTTCTCTTTTTGCCATCTCATTGATACTTCATAGGTGGAAATTCTTATTCACTCAACTAGTATATGCCCCCAAATTTGGGGAGGCTGCTTGTTTTTGCCCCGGATGTTGGGGGTTTTACTCGATGACCTTTGGGGTTTTCTTGAGTTGGACACCTGTCTGCCTCGGTCTAACACCTGCGTCGACAAATCCAACAAATGTGAATTGGAGGTAGACGCCGGCGTTAGATTGCATGACAGTTTGTTTGGCTCTCTAACCCTATTTTTTTAGTTATATGTAGATTATGCCTAAAACCTCCTCCAATGCCTACAGCCTCCTCTATGAAATAGATTCAAAATGTTTAGAAATTAAGACTACCACACTGTCAAAGAGTCAAACTATTTTTTGTCACACATCTTTAAAATTTCCAAAGAGTACTTTCATTTGCTGCATGGACAGTTGCAGATACATAGATGCATTCAAATCAAAAAATCATATTAGGGCCAGCAATGGAAATATTGCAGTCAGGTACTATATCTTAGCATCTTATGAGGAAACTTCATAAATGAGAAGAGGTTTTTTTTACTGGTAGTGTATAGAAGCAAGATCCCTCACACTCAAAATGCTGTATATTTGATGCCAGGCGTAAGTGTCACATAGACCTCAAGAATTGATTTGTAGGGGTGTAGCAGTCTCATCAAGTAGCTTGCCAATCAAGCTTGAAACAGCAGGGCCTTGGCAGGCTGGATGAATCACTGTCTCTCACTCTGTATCTTGAGCCAAGACTAGGATGTTGTGGTTAAATGTTACCGCTTTTACTGTCTCCTCAGGAGGGTAATAGATTGATAACGCTTCTTTGCCTCGATATCACAGGTGTAAGTCTCAGTCTACAACTGCATCATCACAGTTACAGTCTCACCTTGTGCTTTGACGAGTCGCCATAACTCTTGATGATAGTTGCGGCCAGTGGGGCTTTGCTTCAAGTCATGCCTCTGGTAGCTTATAAAGGACGGCATCAGCCTTTCCTCCGCTCATGGCAAGCGGCCAAAAAAAGCATCTCAAGTAGCTCAGCGCAATCTCTTTCCCTGCAACCTGCATCTTAATGATTCAATCAAAGCGGAATTTTCTTTATGTCTCTCTGTTTCTTTCAGGAGCTAGTCAATTGGCATGTTCCTTACTGGAAATGCCAAGAGAGATCTCGTTAAGTAGGTGGCAAATGTTTTCTTCCGATTCAGTTTGATTTTACATCTAATCAACATCTTCACCCAAATGATGGTTGCTCAGGATCCAGTGATGCTGCGATGATAGATCATGGGCAACCCGGAGTCGGCAAAAAACAGTCGTGTCTGCGACAGAGATTTCGCAAGGAAAAAGCTGCAAACCAATGTAAATTTCTTTTTCTCTCAGTGATGCATGATCTATGAGCGGACATCTTTCTGACAAATTGCTTGACTTATAGACCAGTTGAGTGTGTTGGAAAAGAAAGAAACGGGGATTAAAGAAATAATCCAAGAGCTCAAAAATGAATTTGGGCAGGATGAGTTTGAAACAGACATCATTGAAGAATTGGAAGACTTTCACAAGACCTTGAAGGAGCCAATGCAGGACATATTGTTTGAGTTGCATGGAGGCTCTCGAATGCGAATCACTCCCCTGACGACGGAAGTCCGTCCAACGGCTGAGCTATCTGGTGGTCCCCTCGACGATATCAAAGATGTCCTTGCTGAACCCCTGGTTTTGCGGTGGAAAACTTTGGAAACAAAGTTTGATGCTCTTCAAACTGAAAATTTAAGTAGATACAAGTTCTGCAACAGGCACTTCAAATTGGGCTATTCAAAAGTTTTATTTCTCTTAGGAGATCTTATTCAAAATTGCAACATGGGGCCACCACAGTTCCTCCGACATATTCAGATTTTAAAATCAAAGGCTCTGGATGAAGCGGCTTTGGCATATGTTGATCCTCTCATCGATCACCCGTGGATTCTGCATGACTGGTTGACTCAACTTTCTCTACCGCTCTTTGTGAGAGAATTTTGCTATCTTGACAACATGGTAAACAATCTTCATAGATCTATCCCAGGTATGTTCCAAAATTTTCAAGGCATTCCACGCAGCTATAATTTTTGCCATGGTAATGAGAGACTTGATGGGTTTTTGTGTCACTGAACACTCTTCACCTGTTTTTCTCATTACGAACTGGGTCCAATATAGCGATCTCACCCCATGAAAAAAACCTTTCCATATATTTGTGCTTGAAACACATGATGGATAATCTAAAAAATCCCTCTAAAGTCAATGGCTTGAAAGAAGAAACCAAAACTTTTACTAGGATCCGTGAACAATTTGTTGCACCCAAGTTTCTTGAGGATATCAATAGAATCTACCCAAGTCTAAGCACCATGAAAGAAGATGAACTGAAGAAAGTAAAAAATCAGGAAGTGTTTCTCACACTTGCAATACAAGACATTCTTGAATTCTTCCACATCCCACAAGAAAATGTCTCAGGAAATAGACATACTGTTCAGTTATTGATAAACTACCACACAGTGAATTTTCTCCATACTAGTTATCCAAAAATTCTGGTTGAGTTTATGCCACAGAATGTTGATAACTCA